ATCTTTTCCTTGTGTTGTTGTCTAATGGAGACTTTGTCCATCTAGCCTAAGTGCAACTTATTCCTACCCAAACTGCTTCAGTGAAGGTGCTTCATTAACTAGAGTGAAAGGATAACTTTCCTTTTGTCCTCGAGATTCTTGGTTCCTTAGTGTTTCAGTTTGAGATCATCCATGGATAACCTTTGCTTGCTAATTTGGAAGAGGGTGCAGGCGGAGATATTTCTGCTCTACTCCTTTTCTCATTTTTCTCGTTTATTTCTTTTCCTTCATTTTTCGCATTGGTCTGTTATATTTTGATCAATTTATATGATATGCTAGATCATAGTTGCCTGCTCTCTGTTCCCATATATTTTTCTGTCATAAAGCTCTAGTTCTGATCTTGGACAATAACTAATGGTCCTCTGGGGGGAACTCCTTAGAATTGCACAACTGGTTTAGCACACCAGCAGGAGTCGGCAGAGGTTTACATTTTTAAGTCTCCCATCTCTGTGTTGGAATTTCCTTCCAAACATATGTATTACTCGGGTATCTTATCAATTATTATATATAAAGGAAAATGTGTTCCAGATGCTTGTGAGTTTAACTTGAATGATCTTGTTGACGGTTTATAGGCATTTGCCTGGCCCGAAGGTCAATCTTGAGAGGGTGGCCTTGGTGGAATTGATGGAAAGTCTTGCCGGGTTTTAGGAGACTTCGGTGATTCTTTCTATAATGGCCTTGGTGGAGTCTTGCCCGGTTTTAGGAGACTTTGGTGGTTCTTTCTATAATGTCTTTGCGTATTTTTATGGAATTCCCAACAATCTCAAACTGGTGTTTAGTTCGTCTTGAGGGGCAAGTGTTCATGCACTTCCTGTGCTTAAGTAAGTAATGATGGCCTTACTGTTTCTGGCAACCATTTCCGCAGAGTACGAGATGTGGATATGAAGCACGACTATGCCTTCGTAGTATGTATCATCTCTCTGATTTCTCTCTCTAATGGTGTTAATGTCTTCGTTACTTTCTATGTTTAACCCCCTAACCATCCCTGCCAAAAAAACTTTTGTTTGCCACACAATGTGTTTCGACAGGAATTTAGTGATCCTCGAGATGCTGATGATGCAAGATACTATTTAGACGGCCGTGATGTTGATGGCCGCCGCATAATTGTGGAATTTGCCAAGGGAGTAAGTATTTTATACTTGTATTTCCTGGATATCTCCTCACTGTCAATTTGCTGTTTCTGAGAAGGGGTCTGGTAAAGCTGCAAGATAACCCCCCACNCATCAGATTTCTAAGTTGTTTAACTTCGCCTCTTATGAATTCTTCGAGCAATTAATTTTCATGAAGTAATCTCTATGATTCATTTGCCAGTTCAGTCTTCTGATAATGGTTTTTCCTCTAGGTGCCACGTGGACCTGGTGGTTCGCGTGAGTATCTTGGCAAAGGACCTGCTCCTGGGTCAGGCCGCTGCTTCAACTGTGGCCTTGAAGGTCACTGGGCTCGAGATTGCAAAGCTGGGGATTGGAAGAACAAATGTTATCGGTGTGGAGAAAGAGGTCATATAGAAAAAAAATGCCCAAATAGTCCTAAAAAACTCAGGTACTTGAACTCTTGGAAAGCATTGCTTCTGTATTTTCATTCCCCTAATATTTTTTCCTTTCTGCTTCTTGACTTTGTTATGTTCATTGCAGTCGACGGGATCGGAGCTACTCACGGTCACCTGTCAGGTCAAGGTCACGTTCACGTTCTCCTCGTCGTCGAAGTTACAGCAGAAGCCGCAGCTATAGGTGAGTTCTGAGATGTGTTCGCTTTTTGCTCGTTGTTTTACTGTACTTTGCAAGCCTTTAACACTAGTGTTTGCCCATGACCTCACTTGCAAAACATCAGTTTTTGCATGTTGAAGTTTGGCTATCAGTATTAGCAAAATATTGGAACTTTATTAATGGTGAAATATTGAAAATTAGTTTTGAGGTGAAATAACTCACAATGCTTCGACTTTTAAATGATCTGTTTCGACTTCAACTTAAAAAGTTTTTTTTTCCAACTCCAACTAAATATTGTCTACTTAGAAATGTTTCTGAGCTCTTTGCTTTGTTCTTTCAGTCCATCAAGATCTCCTCCTCCAAGGAGAGGAAAAGCTGACCTAGAGAAGAGGTCAAGAAGCTACAGTAGGAGCCCTGAGCCAAGGAAGGAAAGTCCAAGTCCTAGTCCGAGTCCTCCACCGAAGACAAGGAAGCACAGCCCAACACCCGAAGAGGGAAGCCCTATGGAAGCAATGAGGACGACCACCGGAGAAGAAGGTAGCTATAGCCAAAGCCCCAGAGAGAGAAGTGCAAGTCCTTTAAGTCCTAGACGAGGGGATAGCCCTGCACCTGAAAGGGATGAGGACAGCCCTGCTGAAGCTAACGGTGGAAGTCGCAGCCTGAGTCCCAAGTACCAGAGGAACCGTGCAGATGATGACGAGGATGAAGGTGAGTATAATAATCAACGCTCAGGCAGAGAGAGCGAGTCGCCTTGACCTGTGTTGAGGGATTCGTAACGAAGCATCTTCTTGTGGAAATTACTGTATGCAAGCACCTTGGTTGATCTATCTGAATGGATTTTGTCTAGGCTGGACCTTGTGAAGCCCAAATGAGATATACTTAAAAGAATTGGACTCTATCTATATTTGGTATTGTTAGTACAATAGTTGATATTTGATGATTTCCTGTCTCATATGTCATGCAGCTGTTACTGGTGCTGGTACTTTTCATAAAAAATAATGACCTCCTTAACTGCACCATTTGATTGAAAGAGTTTGTCCTTTATTTAGTTATAAGAAATCATGCATATGGTACCTTCCGTGCAGCTTATTAGAATGTTTAGAATTCGATGTTAACATTTACATTTTACATTTTACATGATATTTACACACTGTAGTGTAAATATACACTACAGAGTGGAGTTGTGATGAAATTAAACGTTTTGATACTCCTAGAGTCCTCTTTCAATTTGTCATTCTTTCTGAAAACAGTGGAAACAAGAGATTCAACGGTATAAAACCCGTGCAAAATCATATTAAGTCAATTCGCCGTAGAAGTAAAATGGAATAACAAATCCTTTGGTGATTTTGCTAGTGTCACACAATACTCGTTAGTAAAACCTACACTATGCGCCAAAGAGGAGAGCATAAAATGAGGAAATAATTTGCTATGACCAGCTACAATTTAAATAAAAGAAAATAATTTTACTAATATTTCTTGTGTTTTATTACCGATTTTCATCTCCCCAATAAAAATAACTTAGAACATTTAGCACACAAGATTCTCTATTGTTCAATAGTATGTTCAAAATTTTAAAAAATCTAGAAATTGTACTGGATGAATTTTTTTTTATGACCACCGTTTAATTTTTGAACCAGTTAAGAAAATTCTTGACAAAATAGCCTCCGACTAGAATTTTGACTCACGCTGGTCAGAATTTTGGGAAGCGATCAATGCAATCAATATAATTTTGAAGAACTAATAATAAGGTCACAGTTAGGGGTGTACATGAGTCGGGTTGGTTCGAATTTTTTAATTACCAAACCAAATCAATTATATCGGGTTATTAAATCTAAAGACCAAATCAAATCAATAAAAGTCGGGTTTTTAAATCTCGATTTTTCTCGGGGTTTTCGAGTTGTTTCGAATTTTTTTCCATAAAGTCTTCATAGCACAAAACATAGAATTTGTGTTCCAAATATTTCTTTAATCCTAGTAAGACAGAACTATATAAGGTATTTTTTAATAAAATAACATAAATATGAGATGATTCATAGTATTGTACTAAAATATTCAATAATAAAGATGAGAAAATCACATAAAATAAATATTATTAATAAGCCATAATGAAAACAAACATAATTTAAAATTACTAATAAATTGCTAAAATAAATACGACTAATAAGTACTATTATTTACATGAATAAAGACTAAAAGAAAAATAAGTTATGCATTTTATCTAAACCACGAAAAAACTAAAAAATAGATATCCAACACTATTTCATTTATAGTACAATTGAATTGAATGTCTTTTATTATCATTACTATTGATTTGATTTTGGTTTAGGATTTATTTGAGTTACTAACATTTATAAACTATAAAACTTATTGGAGCATCTAAAAATTATAAGTCCAAGCTTGAAATAATATGTTAAAAGATAAAATTATGAAAAAGTATAAGAAATATTTATAAGCTACACTACAATAAATATTTTCATGTATTAAATATATTTAAAACTTCTACACATATAATGTCGGGTTGGTTTGGTTTCAGTTTGGCTATTTTTAGTTAAAACCAAACCAAACCAAATATCGCCGGATTTTTTTTTTCCAACACTAAACCAATCAAACCAAACCATAGTCGGATTTTTTTTTTTTGGTTTAACTCGGATTATCGGGTTGATGCGGTTTGTCGGTTTCATTTGTACACCCCTAGTCACAGTGCTGAAAACATTTGGTGATCATTGTGGCTGAAAATTCTGGTGATCGTCAGGATTTTGCTACAAATCCTGACAATTATCATATCTTGCTGAAATTTTGGCGAGCGTGCTTTAAAATTTAAAGCCATATTATTTTTGTAAAACTTATGTTATCGCGGTCAAAAAATCAACAATACCACAAAAGTATCTTGTTTTTGTCGTTCTCCCTAAAAAAAAAAAAAGACCTATCACCAATTTCCTTGCAATCCAAGTCTACCACAAATATATTGGGCCGATATTTCCCAACATTCCAAGGCGATGATTGTTTAAGAAATTTTATGATATAATTTTTATGGGACAGTCTATCAATATTTGTACAAAATTGTTAAATTGTTCATATTCACAAAAAACAAAAAATGAAAAAAGCACATTAATTTGGACGCTCGCATTTAATCTATGTCAGTTTATTAAAAGAAAATTAATTGGTCGTCAGTGCAAGCAAACTTCGAATAAAACTGTTCCTCCTTCGTTTTTCTTCTTCTTAGCTGATATATAATACGACAGTGTCTTTCGAATTTGTTGGAAAAGCTTGAAAACATTGCAAATCATCCTTATTGTAAGCTTGAAAAGTAGGTCTTGAATTTTGAATATAAAAATTAAATTTAAATCAAACAGGTGTTGTTGAAGTGGTTAGACTTGTAAAAATTTATGAACTTAGGCCATAGTTTAAATAGGGGTCCCAAAATAGGCTATTTATGTACTTCCCCCGATTTTATGTGGCGCCAACGGACAGTCAATCCATAAGAATTCCAATGTCTCATTCGCTAGCTGCGGTGGCTCTGCCGCGTTTCGCCACCGTTCTCACGGCGGCGAAGCAGCCACGACTCAGACCAAACCCTAAACCCCAGAATGGTAAGCAAAAGATAACCACCACCAATCCCAGCAGGAAAACAACGTCAGGCTTTAACAGCAGGAATAAAGAACTCACGTGGCAGTGCATCCAGAACTGTGGCGCATGCTGTAAACTTGATAAAGGCCCAAACTTTCCTTCCCCTGAAGAAATTTTTGATGACCCTTCTGATATTGAGGTTTTCTCTCTCATTATTTTGAGTTTAAATTATGTGGGTTTTATGTTTTCGTAATTTATATAGTATTTGTTTGAATACATTGACAAAATGACAACCCCTTAAACTTGTTAGTATATTTTATTTAAACACTCGATCTAAGGACTGTTCCATTTGAGCATCTGAACACATGATAAAGTGTTCCTATTAGACACTTGTTGGGGAGATTTTGAGAAAAATGGCTCTTGGTTTTTTTCTTTTAACGAAGCGAGTCTTTTGTCTAATGGAGGGAGATTTTTTTTAGTTAATTGGGTTCTTTTTTAACTGAGTTGTCTTATTTTTGTTTGTTATAGCAAAAGGCTTATATCCGATTTGTATAATTAAAGAAAGTAGCATATTTTTAGTGGTTAAACATATCCACATAATGGGCGCTTGAGAAAACGCACCAAAGCTTTTCCAAAGTTTGAGCTGGAAGTGTCTAATAGAAAAATTTATCATGTGTTGAAGTGTCTAATATTGATGTATTTTGTCTATTTATTTTTATTGTCCCGGACTTCAAAGGCCGATTCAGGATTTAAACTGTATGAGTTCAATTATAAATTTTTTAGCATTGAACTCATTATATTTTTAAAATTATGGGTTCATATCTATTATTTTTACAATTTTAATGAATTTTTATACATAAATTTTTACTCCGCGTCAAAGTTATGGGTTCAATTGAACTCGTTGCTAATACAATGCATCCGCCCCTGCCGGACTTTGGTGTAGTGGGAAGAGGGTAGCACATGATGTATATGTTAGGCACATACAAAAACTTGGTATTTACGTTGAGAATGATAGAGGGGGCTCATTATTCACCAATTTCGAACCGTGCCCACTGACCCTCGGTGATTTTTCAGCTATTAAAAAATTGCTCCCGGATTTGGTATAGTGGTAAGTGTGCAACAAGTGATGTGTGTATTAGGCGCATGCCAACGGTTTGAACCGTGATGCAGACAAAAACATGGTATATAAGTGGGAAATGATAGAGGGATAGGTCATACCAGTTTCGAACCCTGTGACACTAACACTCAGGGATGGCTCGGTTAGTTATGTGGCTGTTGTGAATATGATGGTTTATACTACATTTGTCATATTTTATACAGTATTTGCTTTTATTGTCCCGGGATTTTGATCTAGTGGTAAAAGCGCTGCACGTGATGTGTGTTAGGCACACGACAACTGTTCGGACCATAAGCCTGATATTTAAGTGGATAAGGATGGAGAGATAGGCCCATTATTCACCTGTTTCGAACCGTGCGCCACCAGCCCTTGGGGATTTCTCGGTTATTAAAAAAATAATGTGGGGGTCATGAATATGATGGTTTATACTATATTTGTCATATTTTATATGGTATTTGTATGGACATGGATTTGTCAGTTCGATTTATGTATAATATTTGTAGTAGTAGTAGAGAAAAAGTGCTTAGATATGATTGAATTTATTTAGACAGAAACGTTACAGTTGATTTTAAGAGTTGAATGAGTTCATAAAAGCTGTTAAATTTACATAGAATACGTTATCAGTAGATTTGTGTAAAATATTTTGGACCGTCCAAAATTGAAAGATTGTTATTATTAGTACATTTGTGTGAATATTTTGGGCCATCCAAAATGAAAAGACTATTATATAAAGTTTGGAGCTATATATGTGAATTTTACTTCTCAGTTATTTGAAAGCATGGTGGGTTCTGATGGATGGTGCATACATTTTGAGAAGAGCACAAGAAAATGCTCCATTTATGCAGGTGAAACCATCTTTCCCAAAAGGATTTTGGAGATTTCAGTATTTATCTCTGATGATTTAGTTTTTCCCTTTGTCATATGAGTGGATTTCCTGAATCATTTGTTTTTCTCTTTTCTTTAGATCGTCCATATTTTTGTCGGGTGGAACCTGCCATCTTCGAGACACTGTACGGGATTGAAACGAAAAAGTTCAACAAGGAAGCTTGCAGGTAATCCATTGATGTTGCTCATTTACTCGTTGCCTATAGACTTCGTGAAAGTCTAAGTCTTGAGTCTTGACCACTGAATTTCTGTCTGAGACTACTGTTTTAATTGAAAGGATGTCTTGATTGCAGTTCTTGCGTAGACACGATTAAAGCGATATATGGATCAAGCTCGAAGGAGTTGGAGAATTACAATGCTGCAGTATGGAGTTCAACTTAGTTCCACATTCCTTTCTCTGAGGTTGCTTTTCTGTTTCTTTGGAACACTAGATTTTAGTTAAAGGTGCTTAAGTCAGCAGTTGCTTTTATTGTTTGTCTAGATAGGTCTGTAGATTTCAATTAGCTTATTGATATACTCAAGTGGGAACAGTTTTATTATCTGCTATAGTCGTTTCTGCAAGATCTAGATTGTCTGATGTTTCGACAATATGATTCACATAGTTGTAGAACATTTTAGGACAATCAAATATTTAAATTCCACCCAAATTGATAATTTGCTAGTTTCTTTTGTGAGCGTGTCTAATTTGCTAATATCTCTAGTCTCACTTTCAAGCTACTGATATCGACATGAGAATTGTAGGCTCTAAATCAGGTTTATATGCTATGAGTTTCAGGTGAATCGTTTTGATTGTTTTTCCTGTCAATCAAGTTGGTGGCGTTTGCAGCCTGTTGCAGTGGCTAAGCAGATTTGATGAATCGTCGTAGTTGTCAGATGATATATAATGTTCTATCACGAACAGTTCTATGCATGCAGAATGAACTGGTGCTGCTGCAACTGAATTTGGAACACTTAAAATCTGACGGGGAAGCACAAATCAAAGACTTGGGATCTTTTGGTTGGAAGATGTAGTTACTAATTTATTGTAAAGTGAGAAATATGGACTGTAGTTAGTGAATTATTACCTGATAATCTTCTCTAAATAATTAGAATACACTGATACATTAGCTTCTATGAGTAGACACTTATGTTTTCTAATGTCAGATTTCATTGTATGGCTTATCTTCACCAGAATATGTGGGAGGAGACATGATCATGTTTCCTTTGTATCATAAAAATTCAGTTTATTCATCTTTGTATTCTTTATACATCTACATTGCTGCTATCTTTGTATCCTTAGCAGGCTAAAATGTTTTTTGATCATTGTGTTTCCTAAATTCGGCGTCTCTTCTGATTAGTTTGAAGTTCTGTACAATCTTAACCGTGTTTATGCAGCTTTTGAAGACAACTTTCAAACAAACAAAAAAAGTGTTTGGGACTGAGGCATAATAGTTGTTTTTTTCTGCGGTAACGATCTTTCTACTAAGTATAGTGGTTTTCAAGAGACTTCTATTTCTCAGTTGAATGACATCAGATACTTATGGAACAGGTTTTACCACAGCGAACAAATACAGGAAAGCTCATCCAGCCAGAGGAGCCGATGTACAATTAATCTGTTTTGACATGAATGGATAAATCTATATATCTGTAACTCATGTTTTAGCCAAGTGTGAGATATTGCCTTTTGATTTACCAGAGAAGGTTCCTACTATAATTCTTACATGTATGATTTCAATATAGTTGGAATTCCGTTCATAGTCATCTTTGGTCTTAAATCTGTATATTTACTTTTATTATAAGCGGTACTGAGAATTACTGTGTTGGTTTATTTACGGTGGGTGGAACCAGAGGCGAATCCAAGATTTAAATTTAGTGGCTCAATTTTTAACATTCTCCGTATTGAATTCATTGTACGGTTAAAATTAAGGGTTCAGATCTAATATTTGTTGAGATTTAGTAAATTTTTACATATAAATTTACACTTCAGTTGAACCCGTAATCTAAAGGCTACATCCGCCCCTGGGTGGAACCCGAACTGGGTATCGATTATGCAGATCAATGCTGATGACGTTTTGGTTGTGGTTTTCTCATCTTCTGGTGCTAAAAAGGAGAAATGGTCAGGACAATTCCCATACTATTGCCATTTTCCATGCGTAGGATTCGTTTTCGTTCGAATAAGATGCTTTTGCAAGCTATTCAGCGCCTTTCCGAAATCAGATACCTAATCCTATCCTTCAACTTTTCCCTTTTCCCTTTCATGGTAATTTGCCTTTTTTTCATCTTAAACAGATACCATACAAAAAGAGTAAAAGTAGGTTGCAGTTGCTTGACCATGTCATCTTCATTTTTGCAAAGAAATAGTCCCACTCTCATTTTTTATTTTTTTTGGTTTCAGAGGATTCAGTATCTCAACCTAAACTAGTTCAATAAATAAAGAGACTGTTTTCAGAAAGAATGATTCATGGAGAAAGCAATATCCTCCTCCTGGCCCCAATTTTCTTCAAGAAGGTCTTATTCCAGGCAAAGCTAGTACCATAATACTAGTTTCATCAATGTAGCTGGATAGCCTTCTAAAACCACCGAATATATATATGTCAAGGCAGCATCAAGAACACAATGATTCTTCTGGTATCTTATCTCACCGTCTTCACCCTGATTTTTCTTGACTGTAGAAAAAGGGGCTATCCATCAAGAAGAGAAAAAGGGGCTATAATGTATGTAACATTATAGGGACGGGTTCAATTGAGATTGACTGTATTGTAGAACAAAACTAGATCTCCTCACTAAGTTCTCCACAATTTTAGCCATTTGTATCCCTGTATTGGTACTATAAAGTATGAATATCTGCTTTCTGATGGAATAGGATCATCTCTTTGCACTCATACAGTTGTTCTCAAAATGGTCATCCATGATGTATGCCAAGAAGAATCTACTTCATATCAGTGCAAGAATCTCATATCTACTACACATTACTATTCTCGGGGTGAATACACTTGGCAGATAGGATTATCCCTGTTAGACTGTTCCGCAAAGGTTGAACAAATGACCAATTGTCTCCTACTATGGTCTTGAAAACCCTTAGCTCATGAACTAACTTTTGGAGTTGAGTTAAGACTAAGATCTATTTTCTTAACATGGTATTAAAGTCAGACTCCTCTCTGTTCTTGGTTTACCCAATGTTGGACCTCCATGTTATGTTGTGCACGCTCCAGATGTCCTGGGTATGAGGGGGGTGTTAGACAGTCTCATATAGGTTGAGGGAATTACCTGTTGTCCTCTTATATGGTTTTCGGCAATCTTCGCCTAATGAGCTAGTTTTTGGAGTTGAATTAAGCTCAAGGTCCATTTTCTTAACAATCTCTTTGCACTTATGCTGTTGTCCCAAGTCAAAATTGTTATCCTGACATATGCCAAGAAGAATCTTAGCTCATATCAAAGCAAAATTGCACATCTACTCTACATTACTATTCACTGGAAAGTTTCTTCTACACCAAAGCTTCTCATGTGATCCACCAAAATATCCACCAAACTACCAATTGATTTAATATGTCCCATAGATATGTCTTCAGCAGTAAAGCGAAAAACTTGACTTTTAATCTCAATCCAACTATAACCAGGATCCCTTTTAAGTCCATTGTCTTTCATCAACTTCTGCACTCTCGCTGCCTGATCCCAGTATCCTAAACTAGCGTATAAATTTACCAGCTGCAAGTGGGTAGAGGTGGACCATGGTTCCAGCGTAAGCCTATTCTCTGCAGCCTCGATGCCCAACCAAAAGTTCCCCTGAAGCCTGCACGACATAAGCAATGAACCCCAGATGACACCATTTGGTTGAATTGGCATCTTCTTGATAAACTCCCATGCCTCTTCTAGTAACCGTGCTCGTCCGAGAAGGTCTACAATACATGAATAATGATCCAGCTCTGGCTTCACACGGCAATCAACCATTGAATTAAAGTAAAACATGCCTTCTTTAACAAAACCTGCATGGCGGCAAGAAGATAACACCCCAAGGAAAGTAATGGAATCAGGTCTCACTTTTTGCTGCTTCTTCATTTCCTCAAAAAGTTCAATAGCTTGAATTGCATGTCCTTGCTGTCCATATCCACAGATCATCGAGTTCCATGACACCAAATCTTTGCTCTTCATATTTTCAAAAATGTGAAAAGCATCCTTTACTTCCCCACACTTACAATACATTGATAAAAGAGCATTTGCGACATGTATATAGGAATCAAAACCCATATGAATTATTTGGCAGTGAACACTCCTGTCATGACCAAAACACCCACTACCCATACACGAACTCAGCAAGCTCGTAAACGTGAACTCATTTGGTTTCAATGTCAAGCCCATCATACCTTTATACAATTTCAAGCACATATCGACCTCATTCTCTTGTGCAAAACCATTTATCATAGCACTCCAAGACACAACATTCCTCACAGGCATTTCGTCAAACACCTGGTAAGCATCCACCACTCCTCCAAAATTACCATAAAAGGTGATCAAAGAACTGCCAATATAAACATTGGACAAAAGCCCATTTACAATCACCAAGCAATGAACTTGAATCCCTACCCTAAAATCTCTCTTTGACGCACATAAACTCATAGCATTTGACACTGAACTCGCCCCAATTTTAGACCCTTCTTTATGAAACTTAAAAAGCAATGAGATTGAATCTTCCATTGAATAAGGAAAAGACAGTTCTTTATGCAATGCGTGTTTTGTACAATTTTGTTCAGAATTTGTTTGAAGAAAGTCCTCAATGAGGTTAAGATATTTTTGATGATTCTTGGTCACATTTGGCTTTGATGCTAAAATATCAAGGAATTTCTGGCCCTTGAATTGGCTCTTGGTTTTGTTGACCGTTTGGAAGGGAAGTGATGACTTTTTTCTTATGACATAACGAAAAAGGAGCTTGCTCATTTCTCCACCAAGTTTTAGGACGACGCAAAAATTTACGTACTTTTTTTAAGTGTCAGCATATCCTTCAACAAACAAAACAAAGTAATAAGCACGAGATCATAAAAGCTGCTTTTTCTTTTTAAGTGTCAGCATATTGTGTCTATGTAAAGTTCAGTTTTTAATGACAAAACCCGAAGCCAGAACTCTGACATACTAACCTTGTGACAAAACTTGATTAACTGTTATTTCGAATCAATAAATGTAAAATATGTACTTTCTTCGTTTCACTTTATGTAAAATATTTGATTAAATAGTTTAAGAAAGAAAGATATTTAAATTTTTTAGTCTAAAATATATATTTTGGGTACGTAGGCGTATAAGAGTGGGAGGATCGAGGGGGCTATGCGTAGGATGAGTAGGGTTAGAGCGATCGGGCCAGATGAAATTCCTGCAGAATTCTGAAAGAGCACGAGTAGGACATGCTTGGAATGTCTCTCCGAGTTGTTTAACGTCATTTTAGAACGAAGAAGATGTCTCAAGAGTTGAGGTAGAGTACGATGATTCTGTTGTACAAGAACACCGTGATATCTAAAATTGCAATAACTATAAGGGTATCAAGCTGCTAAGTCATATGATGGAAGTTTGGGAGAGCGTGGCAGAAGGGAGACTGGTGAGGAGTGTGTCTATTTTCGAGAACCAGTTTGATGTTATGCCGGATCGATCAACTACAGAAGCCATGCATCTTGTGAGGAGATTAGTGGAGGAGTATAGGATAATAAAGAAGGACTTATATATGGTGTTCATTGACCTAGAGAAAGCATACGTCAAAGTCCCGAGAAAGGTTCTATGGAGATGTTTGGAGGCTAAAGGTGTGCATGTAGCATACATTAGGGTAATTAAGGACATGTATGATAGAGCTAAGACATAGGTACATACAGCAAGAGGAGACTTAGAACACTTTTCGGTTGTGATGGGGTTGCATCAGGGATCTTCGAATATACAAGACTTCCAGTGTTCCAATTCGCATTCTTCGCATTTGAACACTGGGGGATGATATGAGAATACGACAACACTGAATACCACGTCAACCGGGGAATGAAAATCCGGGAACATAATACATCATGGGGACCAGGGACTGCGCAACCAACCCCGTAGAAACAAGTTGTTCAAGATAGCCACAAGTCATGGCAATTTCTTTTCTGCATAGCAAAATGCTTATGTACTTTTGAAAATAGAAGGAATTAAATGAAATGCAATCCTTTTGTTTTTATCTTGTTTCTTGTTTGAACGATGAGTTAATTTTTCCATTTGAAAGTTAAACAAGTACTTCAAATGTTAGTGCCGTAATGAGTAGGAGACGTCCTCTTCAAGAGCACTGTAAATATAGGAGGGCCCTCTCTTATAAAAATCCTCACGTTAAAGGGTTGGTTCCGGAAGAATCAATGCCCAGAATCTAGAATGCCATAGGAAAAAAATACACCCAAAGTCGCATATGAAAAAGACGTAAAAAGCAAATTTGCGCAAATACTCATGGAAACCCTCACGAAAAAGGTATAATACTCAGAACCAAAATGCCTCGAAGGAAAGGCATCCGAGATTACACATAATTATAACACCCCAGAAAATTTCAAAGTACTTAAGTGTAAAACCTCATAAAATTTCGCAAATGAATTTGTAAGGCCCCGTTAAAATTTTCTAATGATTTAAGATTTTTAAAGTGCGGCAACGGTATTCGGGAATAACGTATTCTAGTATTAAAGGAGACCCATGGGATTTATGATCAAGTTTGAGTTTCCTTTTGTATTCGACCTCGAATCGGAGTTTTGATAATTCCGTTAGGTCCGGATGGTGATTTTGGACTCGGGCGTATGCCCGGAATTTAATTTGGGTATTTCTAGGATGTTTCGACGTCACTTCTTCGAGTATATGTGGTATCACAATAACCAAATGAGCTCCAAATTCAGTTTTTATTGAATCATTAGATCCGTATTGAAATTACGGAGTCGTAGCAAAAAGAATCGTCGAATTCGGACATCGTATGAGAGAGTTATACCCATTTTCGGGAGAAATAGAAAAGATTTCCCATCGCCAGCGCCCAGGGTAGCGTGGGGCGCTAGCCCTGGTGCTGGGATTTTTGAGGTTCTGAAAATTGGGCCACAGGTAGCGCCCCACAGTGCTTGTGACGCCCGAAACGCTATATACTCATTCGGAGGTCATTTTACCCCATTTTTCTTGGCCGAACTTTGAGGTTTTCCTCCATTCTATCAAGACTTCCAACTCCCCCTATATTCAAGGTGAGTAATCCCTACTAATTTTATGTTTCATTCGATCAATTCCACCCTAAAACTAACTCAATCCTCCATAAAATACATAGATCTTCAAGAAAGTTCTTCAAGAACTCAAAGGAGGGTTTTGCAAGATTTCTTCCAAAAGGTAATCCTATACCCTTAGACTTACATGTATGGATATATTATGGGAATATGGGTATGAATTAAGTATTGGAACTTATGGTATGGTGATTAGAAGCCATAAGTTCCCAATTTAAATACATATCTATTGTAGAGATTGAAAGGTGATTAATTGATGGAATTTTGTTGGTTGGGTGTGGATGGATGGTCATGTATGTGATGTTGGAAGTTATGAATTGTTTAAGAATGATGGTGGGATAAATTGTTGATAAATGGTATTAGTTGGATGAACTAATTCTATGGGTAAGAGATGTAGAGATTCATACCTACTAGGTATTTGATAAAATGCCTAAATGGCCTAAATTATGGAATTTGTTACTATTATTGGTCCAATTGAATTATGTTGATGTAGATTGAAGTTGTAAGAGTAGTAGGTGGTTTTAGTAGCACTAAAGAGCTTCATCAAGGTATGTTGGCTAAACTCTTCTTTAAGAGTTGGAATTCTCAATATCCTTGTGAGTTCTGAGCTGTTGATTATAAATCGAGTATTCCGATAAGTTTTGTGATGAAGATATATGTCCAATTCGTATTTCAAATTCTCTTATCATATTGCATTATGAATTGAGGATGTATCCCAAACTATGGATTACGTATCCACATGTTATAATTTCTAGTCGTGATTTATGTGAAATGTATTATGCCAAGTTGTGTAGAGATTGTGACTGTGATACACCTCCACCCGCATACATTGGGGTGAGGCGGCATGACCGCTTTGTGAGGGGATTATGGTATAGAGATTGTGATTGTGATATACCTCCACCCGTATATATATTGGGATGAGGCGGCAAGACCGCTTTGTGTAGGGATAATGATATTGTGGGATTGCACCTCCACCCGCTTACATTGGGGTGAGGCGGTACGACTGCTTTGTGTATAGTATTAGTATTGTTATGGCACCACCACCCGCATACATTGGAGTGAGGCGACAATGCCGCTTGATTAGTGTTGTGGTATTGTACGTACACCTCCACCTGCATACATCGGGTAAGGCGGCGAGGCCGCTTTGTGTGAAGATGGTTACATAAGATCTCATCTTAAATCCTATAAATGTTAATAGCTTTTGATAAGCTTGCTATGGTTGAGACATTTATCTATATTATTCTATTGCCGCACTGGTTCATCATAATTATCTTGTATTTCTAAATTCTTAAATTGGTGTTTAGTTTTCATACTAGTACTATTCGACGGTACTAACGTCCCTTTTTCCGGGGGCGCTGCATGTTTAAATGGATGCAAGTGGTTCCACAGCAGGAGACATTGATCAGTGATAGCAGTACACCTTCTTCCCAGTTGACTTGGTGAGCCCCACTTCATCCCGGGGTCATGTATCTTTGATCTTTATGTATCATGGTTGAGGTATAGCCGGGGCCTTATTGCCGGCATTATCATTGTACTCTTATTTATCTATAGAGGCTCCGTAGACATAGTGTGGGTTGTGTATTGGTGCTGGGGAAAGACAAACTATGTTATGTTGTAGATGTATTACTGTCCATTTGAGACTTTAAAAATGATAAAACAATTGGAAATGAATTGGTAATTGCAGACATGACCACTTTATTAAAAACATATATTTTCTTTATTCATGAATGAGTTTGGATAGAAGGAATCTAACATGCTTGCTTGGTCGAGTTCACTCGGTTGAGCGCCGGTCGCGCTCCTCGGTTTTGGGGCGTGACAAGAATTGGTATTGCAGACATGACCACTTTATTGTTTAATTTAGGAAAATATATATTTTATTTATTCATGAATGAGTTTGGGTAGAAGGAATCTAACAGGCTTGCTTGGTCGGGTTCACTCGGTTGAGCGCCGGTCGCGCTCCTCGATTTTGGGGTGTGACAATAATAAAGCGCGAATAGAACAATATGCGCAGAATACTTGAGCAAGCACGAAAGTTAAAGACTTGCATGAACATTCAAACGAAAGTAAGACTCAAACGATACTTAAGCAAAAAATATGCTTTTATTTATAAGAACGCATCAAAATGATAAAGGTACAAAATAGAAAAAGAAAGAAAAAGTTAAACTACAGCGTCTCCGGAATCAGGAGGAAGAGAAATATCCGAATCCCCGAAAGTAGTAGATGGTTCCACTGATGGCTCAACATTTTCCCCAGCATGGTCTTCGACATCATCGCCTTCCGATCCTTCTTCAGTTTCCGAAAAATCAAAATCGGAATCAGAAGAACCTGGAGCGTCAGACTGCGCCGAGAGTCCATTTATTGCAGCCAACTGAAGCTCTCGGGCCTTAGCAATTTCAGCATCAATGTAAATGATACCAGTCTTGGCCTCTTCCAAGGTTTTTCTCCTCATGCTATACACAGGAAAAGTTTTTTCAACAATGAGGGAGGCCACTCGATGCTTAAATTCTTCTTTGAGTTGAGTAACCTCGGCGGGAAGGTTTTCCTGAGCGGACCTAACAGATTTGAGACTGATGTCGAGCTCACGGATAGTTGAACCAAAGAGCCTATTATGCTCGATAGTTTTCCTGTACTTCACTTCTAGCTGGGCATGTTTCGCCACCACACGAGCAAGCTCTTCACTTTTGGAGTTTAAGGCTGCCTCCAATTTTATCACTCTCTCAGCGGAGGCAGCCTAACGATCGGTTGCAGCAAGAACAACGTTCTGGACTTCTGCCCATTTAGTCTTGGCTTCATCAAATCTAACCCTCAGCGGCCCAATTTCTTGGATAAGGGTTACCACTTTTTGCTCACTTTTCTGCA